AACACCGAGGTGATTTTTTTAATTACCTTAAACATTCTACCTTTATAATGGATTTTTGTTGTATTGACTCCACTCGCCTTCAGCCACACCTCATAGCCCAAAGCAACCATCAAACACCTCTTTGAATTACTCTAGCCACCCCAAGCTCAACTAAGCTCCTTCGATCATCCATAAATGCGGCCTAGCCTCCTCTATTAAGGCCTACCTAACCTCAACTGCCTTCTTTGCCAAAATAACAATCCAAAACCACCAGCCAACCACTACACTCTAATCAACTTTATCTTCACCAAATCTACTACAACGCCCACCCTAGGACCACTCGTAAAACCAAGACATAAAAAGAGTAAATTTGGTTTTATGCATTTTGCAAAGAAGTCAAGTGCGATGAAGTCATTAAAGAACACTAAAAGAATATGAAATTGGTGATTAATTTTTAAATTGCTCCTTGCAAAGCCCCATTCACAAAATTCATCCTTATATTAAAGCTTTCCACCACGCATTGGTTACTAATGCGACAACTTCCACCCTCTCATTTGGCCAAAAGTTTGACACCCTAGAGTGGCTAAAACTTTCAGCCCTATATCTTTTATTTTTTTGTCTTTTTTTTATTTGGATTATGTTTTAATTATTTAGTTTACATTTTAATTTGTTAGGTTAATTTTAATTATTAAGACTTGGGTTGAAAATAATTAGTCCTTACGATTTACGAGTTTCCTTGTTGAAGAAGGACAAGGCCGAATGTAGCCTATGTGGATGGATGATCTTTTCGTGTTTTGGATCCTTATTTGTTAGGGATTCCTTATTTAATTTTGAGTATATATAATGTGTATCCAAATTTATTAGGATAAATTAATAAATTTCTAATTAAAGATGGAAGACATAAATCCAAGCGTAGATAGAAAAGCGAGTCCACTCGCCAATGAGAAAAATTCATCCTACCCAACTTAGTTTAGAGTCTTTACGTGTAAGTATTTAAGAACACTTTTGTGCTATTTTAAGTAAAGAGTGTGATGATATTTAGATAAAAATTTGAGAGTTATTCTTTGTAACTTTTATGTACTTCTTTGCTTGGATCGACTAGGATGTCGTGAACATATTCTTAGAGTAATTGACTCAAGAGGGCTTACATCAAAATTGCATCGAGTGGACACTTAACAAATATTTCTTGTAAGTAATTTCTAAATAAACTTGAGTAGTGAATCTCTGCTTAGGAGTGAGACATTAGGGCTTGCTTTATTTTTCTTGCTTTGTCACTTGTTATATTGTAGGTAGATAGAGTTTTAGACTCGAATAGTTTTGATCTTCATGCTTACAACCTAGGCTAGGGATTTTATTTTGATCTCAAATTTTTATAGTATCTAGTTAAGGGGTTTTTATTTAATTCATGTTAAAAAATAAAAAAATTAAAAATATATATTTACTTATGTTTTGGGGTTGTAATAAATGAAGAGATTTTATTTCAATCTAAAACTTTTATAATAGCTAGTTAAGTGGTTTCTTTTCAACTCATGTCAAAAAAAAAAATTAAAAAATATTTTCTTGTGTTTTGGGGTTGTGCAATTGATATAAATTTTAGAACTTGTTCTGTTCAGAATTTCTACTTTGTTAAATTAGGGGCTACAAGGCAAAAATTAAGCTAAAATTTAGCATACTCATTCTCTTGGGTAGAATCTACGTTGTGTAAAAATTTCATTCTATTTTGATTTCATTTGAGTGGTGAACTAATATACCCTAATTTTTACTCGCTATTATTGTTTATTGGGAGATTTGGATTTTGAGTGTGTTTGTGTTTAAAGGATTTATGGATTTTGATTTCATCTTGATTTAGGCATTTTTTAAGTTCTGATTGAGGTTTATTTAAGGTTGTTTTTTCCTTGATTGTTTCGGCTTGGGATCGTTGGTGTGTTGTTTATTTTTGTTGAGCTTTCTACGGGGTTTGGCATCTTAATCCAGCATCAATTTAGTATCAAAACTAAGGTTTGCTTCTCGTTGTGTAATAGCCAAATATTAAGATGCCAACAAGAAGAGAAAATTTTAATCGAATGACTATGTATAATATGCAAAAGATAATTGAAGGATTGTAATAAAACAATGTCAAGTCACGACATAGGAACCAAGACTTGAGGATAAATCCTATGCCCGAAGAGAGGCATGAGTCAATGGATGAAGAAGGAGCTCTCGAAGGGCTATTTAAAGATAATCTATTTCATGATATGAGTGCTGAATCTTCTAAAAAAAGAGTTAATGTCCCAAGCTAGTAGAAGACATATCCCTAATTATGAAGTTAAGCTTGAGATCCCCGAATTAAAGGAAATGCTTAGCTTAGATGTCTTTGTGGAGTGGCTGCATAGAGTGGAGAGATTCTTTGACTTTATGACATGTTAGAGAATAAGAAGGTTAAAATCATCACCAACAAGCTAACAAAGAAGGCTTTATTATGGTGGAAGAACCTAAAGAGAAAGAGAGTATGTGAGGGTAAGTAAAAAATCACTACATAGGAGAAGATGAGAAAGGTATTGAGATCTAAATACTTATCTTAATTTCATAAAAAAATATACTTTTCTTCATTTTTATAACTTCAAATAAGGCAACATAAGTGTTAAGGACTATACCACTGAATTTGAGCGACTTATGCTTCGATGTGACTTTAATGAAGCCGAGGAATACACTATCAAGATATTTATTAGTAGATTGAGGTCAAAAGTTTCTCATGTTATGCAATTACAATAATACCATATCTTGAAGGATGTTTTCAAGTTAGCCAAAAAGGTACGGATGCATCATGAGGTGCCTAGTTAGAGTGGCAAGCCAATAAGTAATCTAGAGGTGACTATAAATACAAGTGTGTGGCTAGGAGCACTAAAAGTAACCCTAAAAGGGTTTATCTTAGAAGAGAAGTCACACTTAGAGGTTTGAGGCACATAGCTTTGGAATTTCCTAATAAAAGGGTTGTGACCTTAATTAAGGAGATCGAAGAGTGAAAGGAGCAAGAGGTTAGAGAAGTTGACCTTGTTGGTGATAAAAGGATCCAAAGTTCTAATGAAGACATTGATAATACTACTAACATTGATAATGTATTCATACTAAATTTTTCAATAATGAAGTTGAATATGTTGTTTCCACTAAAGATCTAACCAAGGATGATGGCCATAGTAGCCATAACGTTGATTTGGAGGAGCATAGGGTTACTAGAAAACTATTCAAAACTTTTCTATATGATGTTTACATTCAAATAGAAAAGAGTCTTGTTGATGTTGATGAAAGGAAGTTCACTATTTTAGATGATACTTCCCTATCCAAACATGTAAAGATAGAAGCAATATTAATTTTTGGAGGACTACATTACATAATGTATCAAGATCATAAAGAGGAGATTCATTTGGTGGCAAAGAATTGCATTGGAATGAAGCTTACAATAATTTCATATTTTAGTTTCAAATTTAGACATAAAATTGTATCAACACCAAATAAATTGCTAGGAAAGCTATATACTACAAGAAATACGTTTGAATTTAGTTTCTAATGCATCAAATGATGTATGATTTGGAGTATTCTACAAGAATTTATGGGAGTTTTAATGATAGGTGTGCAAGATAATCCTTCTCAAGTGATGAAGTTTGCTAGTCTAGGACTTGTGGACATTAACCTTCAACATTATATAGTGAAGGAAATCAAGAAAGTAAGCTGAAAAATCTTTACTAGACATCCATAAGATCGAGGTAAGAATTTCATCAACCATGGTGATTTTATTGAACAAAAACTTATCAATGAAGGAACTCACTTGGTAAAGGCTAAGAGTGTAGCTAAGTCACTCAACTTATACCTTGAAGCTTTGTATGTTATTAATATTGGAATGGATAGAAGAGAATCTATCATACATCATAATGTGGGAAAGTATGGTGAAATGCTTGATGCTAAAATGGAGTATGTTATGGGTAAGTATGGTGATATGCTTGAGGTTGTTGATGTGAATATCACCGATGATGCAATTGGACTTGTTGACAAGGTTATTGTCGATTGTGTAGAAAAATTTGTTACTATTAGTAGTGTCAATGATGCTACCATGATTTATAGAGTTAACATGGATGTTTTTTAGGGTAATAATAGTTACTTGAGGATCCTCTAAGATGAAGAACAAATGAAGAGGTTGCTACCATTGAGATCATGAAAACTTGCTTGTTGATATTAACAAACTCAAAGGGTAATGATATGGTGTTGTTACTGATACTAATCAGAATTGTTTTGAGGCTATTAACATAGGAAAAATGGGAAGATTTGCTATTTTAAAAAATGGAAGAAGGCTAGAGAATCAAGCCAAGGTTGCTGACTTTGCCAAATTGAAACATGATTCAAACAATGATGGAAATGCAAATAAAGAAAAGCCATTGGATGAATTCTCTAAATTTTAAACCAAGATAACTTATAATAGCGGAGACTTCGTATGGGTGGTTATCAATAAGGAAAAAATATCAAGAGGAAGGTTTGTCAAGCTTAAAAACATAGGAGGCCCATTTCGAATTTTTAAGAGGATTGATGAGTACAAGTATAAGGATTGATCTATATACGGATTACTTAGTCTCATACACTTTCAAGGAGAAAGATCTTTTGTTGTTCTTTGGAGAAAAATATAAGGACCATGATATTGAGCTCGGCTTGTCTTTAACATAGAGAGTATGATGTAGGAACATCCACCTTCCTACTTGATCGAAAGTTTGGCACCCTAAAGTGTTTGAAACTTTTAACCCCTTATCTTTTATTTTTGTTGTTTTTTATTTAGATTATCTTTTAATTATTTATGTTTTATTTTAATCAAGTAGGTTGATTTTAACTTTTAATAATTGGTTTTGAATTCCTTTTTGGGAGAGAAACTCCACCCTCCCTACCCTTGGCTTACACGTTTCCCTTATGGGGGAGATGGTAGTCTACCTCTCATCTATCCCATCAACACAACCTAATAGCCTTGCATATGCAAACCCCCAAGCCAATCCAACTACAAAACCTTAAACTGAAATAGTAGCATTCTGTCTCCCATCTTCCCCAACAACAAAGCCTAATAGCCTCCTCTCGGATGGTTTCCCCCAACCTAATCCAACTATACTAGGAAAACCATGAACTAAAATAGCTAAACCACTTTGACCATAAATTAGTGTCCCCAAGCCATCCTTTTTCGTAGCCTTCATCTCCTAAACCGAAGCCAAACATGATTTTACCTTACTAAAAATCACACTAAAACCCCCATCCATCTATGAAGGAGAACCGAGTAGTAGAGTTTTCTAAAATAGATATATAATTATCTTCAAGAATTTTTAAGTTTTCTTTAGTTGCAAAATACTCAAAATCTAGACCCCCAATCAATGCAATACACATGCATATTCAGCAATAACGAGGCCTTAATAGAAAAGCTTATGATAGGGTTAATAGATCCCCATCATGTTTTAATCGGATTGTTAAACAAGGAAGATCTTATCATAACATGGTCTCATAAACACCATCACATAGAAAATGCCATGTTTAGATTGTTTAGATGGACATATAGTTTTTCCATAAAACATGAAATCGTAAGGACTACTTGTATGGTTAAAACTTTCTAGATTCCCTCTACCATTCTTTCCATCTACTTTTCTCAAGGAAATTGTTAGTCTAATTGGTACTTTCCTTTGCTTAGATAATTATACAAAGAATGGATCACACCCTATGCATGCCGGGGCCTTTATAGAAGTTGATCTCACAAAACCAATTCCATCGAGAGTGTGGATATTAGTTGGTCCAAATAAATCTAAAGGGTTTTGCTAAGCTATATTGGTAGAATCCAATACTCATACTATGATTTTTACCACACTTAGGGTCATGTAAGGAGTATTTGTCAAAAAAGATATGGAAATCAACTTAGAGAAAAGTAACAACATAAGATAATGGGTTCTAGACAAGGAACACTACGAGCAGTGGACATTAGTCTCTAAACCACCTCCGGTTCGTCATTCGCAAAAGGAGTAGGATGGCAAATCGTTAGTCATAAAACCAATAAAATACAAAGCCTTTCATCTAAAGCATTAGTAAGTACCAAGATGGAAGGTTTGGATTTCCATTCAAAAGGGAAAGAAAAAGTTACAAACAATCCCATAATGATCGAAGCCAATCGACAACATGGAGATTAAATAAGAGTTGCATCCTTCTTTAGCACCATGCTCTTAAAATGAAAAAAAAAAAACATTAACATTGTTCGGTGCCAATAGGGCAAACCAAAGAAGAACAACGGCATGTAAATTTATAAAATGACAAATGATGTTGTATGGGATCGAATCCGAAAGGGATAGATTTGAATGGTAAAGTTGAATTGATGGAAAATAAGGAGGTCGCTATCGTAACCTCTAGAAGTAATGATTGATTTTATATGATTTTTCCACATGAACAACAAACGAGCGATACTAGAAAAGAAGATAATAAGGAGAATTCTAGACCTTGTCTTATGAAAATGCAAGCTCTGTTTGATCGGTTTCAACATCGAGTCAAGGAAACAAGTAAAGTAGATATAGTCCCAAGAGGTGAGTGCAACATGAATCGAGTGTGCTAGCAAGCGAAATTATGGTACGGGAAGGAACCTTAACTCCGAGAGGTATTGGTGAAACTCATAGTATGGCAAATTTAGAGGAGCTATTCATGCATAATTCATTTGATAGTTTCCATGGCATTAACCAAAGCGAGTATGGATTATGGGAAAATCGGAGATCACTTAGAACCCGACCTATCACCTCATGTAATTCCATAGCCAAGTAGGGATAAAAAAAATTGAGTTGAGGTAGAGTATTATGAAAAAAAAAAAAAGACTAGAACCCTAAGGTCTGTAAGTTATTGAATAAGCGAGAAAAAAAAGATATTGAGATCATTAGTTCGGAGTAAGGGTAAAAGGGTGACTAGATCGGTGGGGGATCACAATGGCTAGCCTTTCTTATCCCTTCCATATGAATATAATAATACAGAATATTAGGGGGTTGGCACCCCAAAGACAAAGAGATATCTATGTAGACTAATTCGCAAATATCGGGTATCTCTTCTTATTTTATTAAAACCTAAACAAGGATGTGATAAGTTACCAAAGTTGGAACTTTATTTGAATTTTTTGGGTTTCCTTCATGGAAATATAATTAATTCACATGTATGGATATTATGAAAAATGTTCTATTAGTAGGAATTTCATATGTTTGTTCATAGTCAATACTTATTCTAGTGCAAGACTCTAGCATTAACTTTAGTACATTAATGTGGAATAATTTGCATGCTCTAAATGAATCTCATCCATGGATAATAGGAGGGGACTTTAATGCAATAACGAATGTATCAAAAAAAATTAAGGGTCTTCGACTCGATATGAATTCGATATTTGAGTTTAAAAGTGGCCTTCAACTATTGGGGATGCGGGATATTGGTTCTATAGAAAGAAAATTCACATGGTGCAATAACCAAATGGGAAGGGCACATAAATGAAAGAGATTAGATAGGGTTTCGGTTAATCATAATTTTTTATCCGTTTTTCCAAGATCGACTTGCTTTTACCTTGAGAGTTTGCACTCGATCACTACACTATGCTAGTGTCCATTAATCAATCGGACCTTAAGTCGGCTAGGTTTAGCTATAAGAGAATGTGAGCATCTTATAGGGAATTCTTGGCCTTTCTATGGCAAAAATGGAGTAATTAGATGAGTCGAGTTCCATTTTTGAATTTACACCTAAAGCTGAAAAATTAATGAGGTGAGCTAAAGGCTTGGAATTGGAATATTTTTGGAGACATCAATAGAAAGCTAAACCATACCAGCGATGAGGTTATGCATTTTGAAGCAACTTTGTAGGGATGTTGAAGTGAAAGGAATTATGAATAGTTGAAAGCGGATGAAGAGAGACTAGCAACTTTAGTTGATCGGGAGGAACTGCTCATTTAGGAAACATCTAAGGTAAAATGGTTAGCTACAAGAGATCGCAACTCGGCTTCATTTAAGTATGAGAAATAGGACAATAAAAGCTACATTGGCCCTCACATTAGATGATGGCTCATTATGTACGGACACTAATAAACTAGGGAGTAAGGTAGTGATGTATTTCTAGAATATATTTACTAGGTTACAATAGAGGATTGTTGCTTGGTCAAGATTCCTAATTTGGTAATGAATGTTCAAAATAATGATCTTATGAGTATTCCAACCATAGAAGAAATCAAGGTTTTTGTGTTTGAACTAGATGACCAAAATGCTCAAGGACTTGATGGTTTTACAATTTCCTTTTTAAAAACTTGCTTGGAAGATTATTGGTAAGGATGTGGTTTTGGTAGTGCGAAGGTCTTTCAAAGAGGGGAGATGCCGAAAAGGGTTATAAGAACTAATCTAGTATTGATCCCTAAATGCTCTAATCCCTTAAGTTTTTCAGATTTGAGACCTATTAGTTTATGTAACTTCACTTATAAAATCTTATCCTAAGTGATAAATAATAGGCTGAGTAGGATTCTTCCATTTTTAATCTCTAAAGAGAAATTCGAGTTTATGAAAGGTAGAGCCATACATGAGAATGTAGCTTTGGCCTAGGAATTATTTAATGACATTGATTGAAAAATTTATGGAGGTAATGTCATTTTTAAGGTGGACTCGACTAAGGCATATGATAGATTGGAATGAAGTTTTTTGCTTAAAGTTATGCGAAAATTTGGATTTTCAAGTTCCTAGTGTAATTTGATCTATCGTTGCTTGAGTATTATTAGTATTGAGTGTGCTTAAATTTGAAAGCATTCAGCTTTTTCAAATCTCATAAGGGGTAAGATAAGGAGACCCATTGTCTCCTGCTCTCTCATCCTTCCTCAAGATGTATTTAGTCACCAACTAGATGCATAGATAAATAAGGGTTTGATCACTCCCAATTATACTAGTTGTAACATGCCTATTATTTCATATTTATTATTTACATATGACATATTAGTTTTTTGCAATGGGTTTAAAGAACACTAGATAACATGATAACCACGTTACGAAGTATGTTACTTGCTAGTGGACAATTGATTAACTTCGGGAAAAGTTTGCTTTTATGTGGCAACAAAATCTTACCCGAGTAGGAAAGGTATGCACTCTACATGGACGAGGCTTTGTTATAACTTTGGATGTTATTAAATATTTAGGTATGTTGCTCGTTTAAAGGGAGAAGTCAAATACATTACTTTGCTTATTTAGAATCAAAGACGAAGGATAGGTTGATTGGCTGGAAAGGGAAGCTTTTGTCATTGGGGGGCAAGTTAACATAAATACAAAGTGTCCTTTCTTCAATTCTTATCTACACTATAGGAGTTTTGCCAATTCCTAAAACCACTTTAGCTAGGCTCCAAAGCTACATATCTAACTTTTTTTGAAAGAGTGGGGGTAAGAGTCAACACCATTAGGTAAGTTAGCACAAAGTGTCCCTTACCATACAAGAAGGTGGATTGGGAGTGAGAGATTTGAAAGAGGTAATGCAAGCTATGAAAAATAAGCTTGCATGGTCTTACTTATCAAGTACATCAATGTGGAGCTCCTTTGTTAGAGCCAAGTATGGAATGCTAGATTCTTTCTCAAGCTTGGAAAAAATGCAAGGGTCATTGGTATGGAGGTCTATTATGCCTCATATACAAATTTTGTTGGACATATCGAGTTTGGGTTACGAGTATGGGTTACATCAAAATTTGAGGGGATAAGTGGACTCGACGGAACTCCCATCTCCCACAATGGACCAAGGAACTACTTTAGCTCAAGCCAAAAGCAATGCGTAAATATATGCATCTATCCTACAGTAGGTTCGGGAAGAATTAGACAAGTTGCATCCGGACGGTAACGTGGATGATAAGATTTGCTACATGGACTCCGGGTAAGGGAATTTTAGCGAGTAGAGAGTACTATGAATTCAGCATATCTCCTGGATAGAAATTTGAATGGTGGAAGAGTGATAAGTACCAAATTATGCATAATTTTAGTGTAAAAAGTTCCTACATTTCAATTACCTTTAGTGATAAATGGTACAAGTTTGGCATTTATCTTGTCTAAATGATGTTCTGCATGTCATATTACATTATTTTGGTTAAAAGGAATGTAAACAAAGCAAGAAGAAGCAAAATTTATGAGTTTTGAAGGTCAAATGAGTTACAACTGTCGTGTAACTAGAGAAGAGTTGATATGTAAAACAAAAAGTTACACGGGCAAGTACATGGCCGTGTACTAGGCCATGTAATCATCCGCTTCGAGGAAAAATTACATACGTACTACATAGAAAAAGACATGGTTGTGTACTTGGTCGTGTCTTACGAAACACGATATTCTACTCCTATTTAATTAGAAACTCAACCTAGAAAGAGGGGGATTGAGATACGAGAGGACGGCTAAGAAGCACGAAAAGAACTAGGGTTTTTTTAGTAAGATAACGCCGTTGGAGTGGATTCTCATAGATTTTGAAGGAGATTGCATCAAGATCAAAAGGGTTACAATGTTTTCCTTTAATCTGAATTGTTTTCTATTTAAGATTTATATATTCCTTGCCTTGATCATGAACTAAATTATTTTGGTACCTAGATACGATGAACCCTAAGATTGACTATGTAATTTGATATCTTCATTCAATTCAATCATTATTTTTTTTATTGTAATTCAGTTATGTCACTTTTATTATTAAATTAAGTTAACACAAGCTAGCATGTTGATTCACATCCGATTTCATACTATGAGACCGAAAGTCCTAAATATGATTAGATCAACCATGATCGAAAGGAGTTGCATGCAATCCTAGAGATAGGACGATATAAATCCTCCGGATTAGAGTCAAATCTAATAAAGGGATTCATAGAATGGATTAATGCAATCTTAGGGGTGTTAATCGAAAGAGATTTCAATTAATTAACTCGGGATTAGGTGTTAGTTAACATAAGAAAGTACTTAGCATAATTCGAGAATTCCTACAATCTAATAAATATAAAGAATGATTGAGTAAAAGATATCGCGATTACATAGAAGATCTACGAGGGATTCGCTATCTAGGTACTACCTTCACCATTAATTGCTCATCCAGTTATTATCGTTATTCTCATTGAAATTTTGTAATCTTGCTTTAATTATCAATGCTTTTATTTGATTCATCATCACTATAATTCATCGATTAGATAATAAATAAGAGTTAATTACTAGTAATCTTCGTCTCCGTGGGATCAACACTCGATACTCTATCAATTATACTATAGAACGATAGGTGCACTTGCCTAAAGTCTATAGGTTAAGAAATGGGCTATCAAGTTTTTTGCGTCGTTGTCGGGGACTAAGATATTAGGAAAAATTTATTCTTATTAATCTAGCCAATTTATTTTATTATTTTATTTTATTTATTTTTTATAATATTTAGTTCTATTTTTCTTTATTTTAGTTTCTTTGAATTACGTTTTTCTCTGTTCGTGCCACTTTTTCGGGAGCCAAGTTAGTGTATGACTCGTAACAACTCGACCGAATTAGTTGAGCCGGATCCTAAAGTAGAAAGAACAATTCTTCGAAACCTCAAGAATCGAAAAAGACAAAGAGAAGAAGAGTTGGAAAGAGAAAGAGAAGGAGAACATCGGAGGGAAGGAGAATCGTAGATAGTCATGGTCGAGGAAGAAAAAACCATGTTTGATTATGCTAGACCAAATTTGATAGGAACAGAGTCTAGCATTGTCGGATCAACTATTATGGCCAATAACTTTGAGATCAAATCGAACATCATCCAAATGGT